CCTGGTTTGTCTTTTCAGTCACTCAGTGATGCTATTCCTTCTCTTCAATGTCAGAAGCCTCTCATGCTCCATCCTGTATCTCCCCAGTGATCAAGAGTAACAAGTAGGTTGTGTGTATGTGCTGTTCCTCTTCATGCAATTGCTCTCAGTACATGTGCATTCAGTACTGTCAGGCTCTCAAATATGTTTCTTTAGCCCCTCTGAATCTCAGACACATCTCTGGGTACATAGCTCTTTGAGGAAAWAAAGGTAAGATGTGAAACAGACTTTGATTTAAAAGTATTTTTTTAGCTTGCTCAACCAACTGCAGGGGCCTGGCAGAGGAAAGGAGGAAGAACAGAGGAATATCTCTGGAAACAGCTCCAGCTTCTGATTGTTCTGTCCTGGGCACTGATGAGCTGTCCCTGGGTAGCCACAAGGAGTAACACAGGGGGGTAGCACAACTGTGATATCACTTCTGGAGATGGCGGAATGAGTGGGGGACATCCAAGCCTGTCTGAAGTGGCAGCCTGAATGCATCCTACATCCAGCTATTTCTTGCTCCTGAAGTCTCTCTGAGAACAGCAATTATTCTCCTGAGCCAACTGAAAATATTTCTCAGGGAAAATTTTCCCCTGTTGAGGGAAGGAACCAGAGGCTCTCGCATTACCATTTCCCCCCTGTGAGCATTCAGGTGTCTGGCTCTCCCCAGCAGTGAAGGGAGGTGAGGATGTCTTGTCTGACTGCTCATGGGCCTGTGTTCTTCCCTCCTCAGGCAGTCCCAGCCCTCGGTGGTGCCATGCCATGTGCCTCAGTGACCTGGGGACAGCTGTTCTCATTGGTGGAGAAGGTGTTGACCAACAGTCCTGCAGGGATGCTCTCTGGAAGCTGGAAATTGGTGGGGACTTTAGGGCTGTCAAAAGCAATATGTTCAGTGGGACTCGAGGATAGCTCATGCAGATGGGAGGGGGTACTTGGGCATCTATCATATGGAGGAGACAGCAAAGGTGTCACATCTAGCATGTCACCAGGCTGAGGTRCCTTATGAGCTCTGGAATTGTACTTTACAGCCCTCTAGGAGTTCTGGGAAGACTTGGGGAATTTTAAGGGGTAAAAGCAACAGTGCAGTTTGCAGTCTGTGTGTGGTGACTGGTGGGGAACTGTGGATACAATTCCAGTGCCTCATGTCTTTCTGCACCTCACTGGTCTTCTCTTTCACCTTGCTGTTCCCCTTCCTTCCTTACAGAAACAATTTTGTATGAGTTCCCTCTAGCTCTGAATCAAAGGAGAAGAAGAGACAAAGGGACCAAAGTTTTGAGTAAAAATTTTTATGGCATATTCTTTAAATATAGAGAAATTAAGAGCCTTTTTGAACTCCCACACTGTGTGTCTGATGTTGCTCCCACAGACAGTGATTTATGGCTTCCAGTGGGTTTCCAGCTACAAAATGCTATGCCATCATGCTTGCATGGTCACACAGCGACCTATGACCCTGACACCAAGCGTATCTACATCTTTGGGGGCATAAGAGAGGACAAAGACCACAGCAGCATCTACATTCTGGACACAAGCACCTGGAAATGGCTCCTTGTGGCTGTGAGTACTGCATCTTTTCCAAGACAAAAGTGCAGGAGTGGGGTGGCAGGTTCTGCCTGAATGTGGCAGTTGATGTGTCCATGTCCTTAGTCCGGAAGTCTTGGTCCACTGTTGCTGCAGGTTGTCTGAGATGCATAGCCGGGCTTGACAGGTATTAGGAGGCTGTGTTGAGAAGTTACATGCTGGATAGAAGCGAGAAGCTGTGCGTACAATGAATGAAGCAATGTGAAAAAATGGTTGCTGCAGAGGGCTGTGTCTGACCGAGCTCAAGGGTAGGAGGCACTCTACAAGCAGCAGAGGGAAATGGACTCTCATTTTATATGGTACCATTGAGAGCAGCACCAGATGCTGGGGATCAAGACCTAGTCTTCTCAAATCAGGGACTGCTTTCAAATAACAGAACAGCAGGACTCTTGAGCAGAGGACCCTGTCAGCATGGGACTGTCTCTTTCCTGGCTACAGCACAAAATGGCTTTTACAGAGTAAGCCTGGATGAGATCTTTATGTTCCCTGACATCTTCTGAAGAAGGTGTGGGAGGTTGACTYCCTTCTCTTATGAGAGCATTCTGGTGGTGTAGAGCATGCAAAGAATATACTGTCTGCCTGTGCAGCAAAAATCTGGCTGGGGAGCCAATGAAGTGAAAATCCACAGTTGCCAAACTCACTGCATGATGTGGACTCCTTTTCTATGGGTCGTGCAGCAAATAATGCACTGCGTGTAACAAATACATATTGAACTTTTTCTAGGCAAAAGGGAGGATACCAGTGCTCACCTACCACAGTGCAACTATCTACCAGAAGGAGCTCTTTGTTTTTGGAGGAACTTTCCCCAAAAAGGCATCACTGGCAGTTGCACCCTGCAGCAATGTGCTCTATGTCTTCAATCCAGAGCATGAAATTTGGTATCAGCCCATTTCAGAAGGGGAGAAGCCTCTGCCTAGGCTTGGGTGAGAGTGCTGTAGTTCCAGCTATCCAAAACAGTGCAGAAAACCTCTCCTCACCTTCCCTCCCACACCAGTGTGATTTCCTAAATATTAGGTGATTGTTCTCCATTATTTAATCCTTATGATAAGGCAGTATTTAGAGCAATGTGACTCTCAGTACCTCTTGTTATAAATCCTGATGGGATTCTGTCTCTGGGCTGCAGTGGCTGTGGGTAGAGGCAGGGGTAGACTGAAGCTATGGCAACCCAACAGAAGAAGCCAAGGGTAAAATGGAAGTTTTGGTAACTTGCTGAAGATGTTTTATTCACTTGCTTTCTCTCTGCCCAGGCATTCAGCTACTCTATTGAAAAACAAGCTGCTGATTTTTGGAGGTCGGAGGACTTCTCTCTACCTCAGTGACATGCACATTCTGGATCTGGGTAAGAAAGTCTGTGCCAATTGGCTGCCTTGGGAAGGTCTGTTCTAAGACAGGGACCTGGGAGTGAGGTGTGTTCAGTGGGAAAATAGCAATAACTTTATACAAACTCCTAACTAGGCAGTGGAGATGAAAAACTGTGGGATTAAAAAAAAACCTTCCTGGGGCAATAAGGGAGGGCATGAAAAAAAAAGTGCTTTTTTTGGAAGAAGCTGGGTGATAGAGAAGGGAGGTTGTTGATGTGGCAGTGTGTGTAAGTTTTTGTCTAGTTGTGAGGCTGAGATTTTTGGACATTTCACCTGCCTTTTCTCTGGCTGTCAGGTTTCATGGAGTACACACCAGTCCCCCTCCTTGCAGGACAGCCTTCTTCACGTTGGTAAGATTCTGCTGTAGACCCAGGAGCTGTCTTCTTCTGTCATTTCTCTTTGAAGCCAAGGTGCTTGTAATCAGTTGCACATCTCTGTCCCACTAGTCAAAACACAGTAGATCTCCTTTCTGCTGCAGGGCCATGAATTCCTGTGCTGTCCTTGCTGGTGCCTGTATGGTGTGGGGGGATATTCCTTAGTCTCCCTTTCAGGCTAGGGTGAGTTTTCTGCCATGTGATAGTAAATTGCATTGCCTACTGTTTGGTCTTCACAGTACCTGGAGAAATATTGTGCCACACTGAGAAAGCAACTCCTGTACCGGGACTGTTCCTGAAGGGACACAGTTGCTCACTAGAACAATGATCTAAATCACTCTATAGCCCAGCTAGCCTGCTATCTTACCCCGCAAAGCAAAGCATAGCAGTTTCGATAGCTTCTCCTGAAATAATGAGTTGCTCTTCAGGCCTGATCATGGCCTGACCTCCAGAGGCAAACAAACATCTCTTTTAGCAAGTCAGGGCAGAGAGAAGCAGAAGTCAGTGTTCTTCCTGCAGCTTAAGCCCCAAATCTCCTGATCAGGTCTGTCCATCCCTGCCCATTGCTGATTTAGGCCATCCCAGCAGGTTTTGTTGTAGTCACCTTTTGACTTTGCATTGGTCACAGTTTTCATGCAGCTGTGGCTGTGTCGGACCAGAAGATTCTGATCAGTGGAGGCTGCAATGCCAAAGGAGCCTTACATGATGCCTTTGTCTTCCACCTAGGTGAGTGACTCTCCTGGCCTGTTTTGATACTGAAGGTGACTCTGGGGCTGCAGTGGTGTTTCTGAACACCTAGCCTAGTCCTTTTGTTTCATATCTTGCACTAGGAATGGGCTTGTCAGTATTGATAGCCTCTTTCTACTTCAGACACTCTTTCATGGAGCACAGTGATCCACCACGACCTCTGCTCTGTTCCCCGAGCTGGCCACACGTTGCTTGACCTGACTCCCGCCCACTTGGTGGATATGGACAAGGAGAACAAAGAGGAGCAGAACCTGCACACGGTGTTGGTCTTTGGGGGCTCCAACTGTGCTGGGACCTTTTATAACAGCACCGTCAAGATCCAGCTGGACCTAGGATAATGCATGATACTCAGAATGAGCCTGAACAGCAATGCTCTTCATCTGTCTAAATACAGATATGGATGGCAATAAATGAGTCCAAGCAACATGGCAGTCCAGGTAGCTATATGTAGGTGAATGCCACCTTGGTACAAGAGATCATGGGTTTGTAAAGTCTGAAGGCCATGGGTATTGTTCTCTTAGGGTACCTGATATACAGTATCTGGGCTCAGATGCCAAAACATTCGCTGGGATCTGAGCTGAGTCTGCACAAGAATACAGACACAAGGTTATGGGTTCCCATCTTGCCCTACAGTTTTTTTTAGCTGAAATTCCCAGGGTGCTTTCAGCTTTGAAGGTAATTCAGGTGTTTGTTTTTATTTGGTATGAGTGGAATGGGATTTACTCTTGCCACATGGAAAGTCCTCAGTATGTTTCTGGTTTGGAGGGAAGGTGGGGTGGGATTCCCTTGGACAACAATCTGCAGCTGAAGACTAAGGAAACAGCTAGAGCAGTATCTGAGGATGCAGAATTGGCTCAATGCCTCAAAGTTGTTSGTGGCTACATTCCCCAACCCAAAGGCATACAGAGGGAACTTGTGATCATTATGGATACTTTTGCTTTAATCTGCTTCATGGAGATAGAAAAAAATTGTAGCTGTAGGCATTCCAGCATAGGCATAGCTCCTGTAAGCCATCCATACTATTTCCACGTCCTCTGTCCTTCTTCCCATCCAGATGAAAGGGAGACATTAGTACCAGGCATTCCTTCTGGTGCTGAAGTCCTACTCAAACTGCAGGTGTTGTCTTCTCTACCATGCTACCATGCCAGCTTTCTAGATTTAATGACTAGAAAGGCTTCAGGCTCGCAGCTCTGCAGGAGTATCTGGCTGCCGGGAAGGGTGGCTTATTTTGAAGGCCTCTAACTCCAAGAGAGCTTTATTTATTCTGGTTATTGTGGGATATGGACCCATGTCCACTTTGAATCTGCAAAATGAAAAGAATTTATGAAGTACTATGAGTTGGTGAGCCAGTGTAGAAATGAGCAGGAGTGTAGAACAGTGTGATAGGCCTGCCCAGTATGGGAGAATCTCACAGGTATTTACACTAACAGGAAAGGTTCATCCTTGTAGGTTTAAAAAATGCTAAAAAGATCAGTCAGTGTCTGGAGAGGTTGTAAAGTCTCCTTCTCTAGAGGTGCTCAAACCCATCTGGATGCAATCCTGTGCCACTTCCTCTAGCAGGGAAATTGGACTGGATAACCTCCAGAATTCCCTTCAAACCCCAATGATTGTGTGATCTTCACCAGGCTTTTACATAGTGTGCAAGGTAGAAAGACACTGCTTTTCCTGGGAAACATACAGCCACTACTTGTATGGGATTAAGGCTTTAAACAAATAAAGTCTGATTAATCTTTTCCTCCTGCGTGTAGTGTAGAGAATGGAGCAAACAGGGACAGAGARTGTGACAACCTCAGATTTTCTAAGGACATAGATCAGGTTTTCCCAAGGCTCTCCAGGAGGAGACCACAGCTCTTTACTTCCAAAAAAAGACAGTATTTATGAAATAAGAAAATTCATGGAGAGAAGACCCATAACATAGGGCAGGCAGGAGGGATACTTTTTTAACAGGCACAAGGAGCAGCAGAAGGTAAGCTCTGATAGCCCAGCATAAGGTGTAGGTGTGTTGAAGAATGTCTTAGGCTTAGCCTTAATTACCTTTCAGCATTGGCAACTTGAGGTGCTAAACAMAGATCAGCCATGGAAACCTGCAAATGTAGCAGAGAAAAGGGGTAAGAGTAACTCACAGCCTGTCCCATTACACTTCACACTGGTGGCAGACTTTGAGACTGGGACTGAAATGATTTTATCAGCCAGTACAGAGGAGCTGTCATGACAATCTAATTTTTTAATTCAGCATTAATAATATAGCAGCAGTACAAGAAAAAGAACTTCATAGTTGAAACCATCAGCTTTTAGGCAGTTTTATATTTACCAGCTGATCATTATGACCTCAAGGACACTGTGCTTCTATAGCAACTGCCTCAGAGCAAACAGGCCTGCTGGCAAGCTGCAGAGGGAGAAGAGTGTTTGCATGGCTGGGAAAAGATAAGTAAATTTTGCTTGTTTGCACTGCTGGAGTATCAAGCAAGTCCTGCCAATGTCAAGACTTGGTATGTGATAGGGCTCTGCACACAGGCTCAAGGACTTGCAATCTAAAAAGAAGACTCAAGGACAATGCTGCTGGCTGCCTATCTGCACAGACAGAGGCAGCTGCTCCCCTGCTCCCCAGGCCACAAAGCCCTCTCAGAGCTCATGTTATTCTCCAGCATTAATTTTTCTAAGTAGCCTTCACCTACGAAGGGCTCCCCGAGGCTGCTACTAGACAATCCTCTGCATCCCAGGATATTGCAGGAGCCCTCTTTTTTTCTAAAGATTTTACAGGAAAGATCCATTTGCCTGCCAGCAAAACTAATAAATGGAAGAGGTCTGAACTGCCTCTAGTTTGGTAAGGGTCAGAACAATTTTTATGTGAGCTCTGTGAAATCTGTCTATGTTAAAACTGGACCATCAGAGCAGAAAAATACAAGTTGGTTAAAGGTTCCATAGAACAGAGCTAAGAACCGAACCCACATTTCTTGAGCCAAGCTTTGCCCCATGACAGGACACTTTGAAATCCAAATCCCATAAAGATGAAATATATATCATAATTTCCCACATCCTCCAGTACCAGCCAGAGCTTAGATAGGTGTAGAATCTGGCAATTAGCAGGTTATAGGCAGGGACAAGTAAACATCTCCATACTCTCTGCAAGTCAGTAATGGCCTAAGTAGGATTAATACAGCAGCTTTTCCTTATGGTGAAGGCACTGCATGTAACTCTAGGCACTGGATGGGGTTGTGGTTTTGTCTCCTCAACTCATTTTCTTTCCCATTTTAGAGGAAAATACTGGGGTTTTCAGTTGTGCAATGGCACACAGTGCTCTCTTGGGTACTTACTTCATCCCCCACACAGTAGCGTCCAGCAGTGTGCTGCAGAATCTGCTCCAGTGCTGTCAAGAGAGATGGTACACTGGAGTGAGGCACTGAAAACTCAATTGAAAGGGAACTTTCTAGACTGGGARTTATGAACAAGGGCATTTTAACCCTGAGCTGAAAAAAGAGCAATTTGGGACAGAATCTAGATGGAGCAGAAATATTACTATAGTTATGGGAGTCCTTAGGGTTCTTCAGCTTTTTTGGACCCAGGGTGATTTCAGCTGCTTCAGACAATGCACCTGAAAMACTAATGAGGATAATGAAGAAGTATATGATTGGGGAGAGGAAAAATGCAAAAGTTCAGTCAGTTTTTGTCTGTCAGAAGGGAAGATGGGCCTGTCGTTGCAGTACATGGGGGAAAGGGTTTTGAGGAAACAAAAAGCACTTTCTTTCTCCCAAAGAGGCAAAGAAAAACTCTGCTACTTGCTAGACTCTGTGGGAGTTTGCCATCAGATGTCTGATTACAAAAGCGCATATATATATATATATATGTAGAACTTCGGAAGTGCTGTGAGCCATCATGAGCCATCATGGTTTAGAGTGAATCAACTGCTGTAGTGTGCAGGATGCCCCCAGGCCTCTCCTCTTTTATGTGCAGCAGTGGAAGTGTTCTGTGAACATCTTTGCTCTGAGATCCTGGGGAGCTACCAGTCCTGGACAAGGGACTCTGGGCAGTAAGAGCACTATCTTTGCCAACAAGGCAGGACCCCAGCACACCAGCCTAGGAAGATCTTTGGTTCTACTTGAAAAGGCAAGTAGAATGCCAGCAGTGCAGCATTTTGTAAGGTCAGCCAAAATGTTGATCATTTTGGATGTTGGATATACCTTGAAAGCCAGATGCGATACAGTTCTGGGCCCACTCCATTTTTTTCTCCCCCATTTGYTTCAGGACACTCAGGTTCTGTGAAGGCAAAGCAATCTCTAGGTTAGATGACTACTGCTGGCTGGATCTTGCCCGCTGTGTCCTCCAGTGGAGGAAAAGGGAGTTGAGGAGTTGCCAAGGCTGAACCCTTGGCCCGAGTTTAGTTGGTTGGGTCAGCCCTGACCTCACCTTCACCAAGTCATGCACCCTGCTGTATCTTTCTCTTGGCACTACCCTTCTGTAACAGTTGCCAGGGTATCCCTTTGCCTCTTTTCTTTGGGTTGCTCAATTCCCTTCTTCCTAAAATGTCCTAGAACCAGCAGTAAAACCATATTCAGCTCTTTCTGGAAAGAACCTGGGGTGCTATAGGATTTGCTGTGTTGGAAATACTGTATTGTTGCCATTGGCAGATCAGGCAGAGGTTAGGCAGAGATTTTATTTGCTAGCACACCAGTCTGAAGTTCTGCCACCCTGTTGGCTGGCAACAATTTAAAGAGACTGTGCATTTCAGAAACAGAAATCCTTTCTGATTTTCTCATTTGCATGGATCTGACAAGGTAGTACCTGGAGCGGTTGGATGCCAGAGACAATATGATCAGCGATCATTCTGACTTGGGCTCTCTTCTTTGGATCTTGGGGCAGAAGCCTGGGGTTAGGATGTGTCTCTTCCAGATAATTAATTATGGCTAGCTGTAATGAACAAAGAGATAATGGGAGATTATTGGCGAGCCAAATCTTTGAATTCTGCATTTTGTTACCAATTCAARGAATAGAATAACCCCTCTGACATCTGCCTGTGACCTTGCTGTCATTTGGTCCAGCTGTAATTCAGGCAAACCATGAAACATCCATCTAAGTCAGACTACAAACTGCCCAGTTTGTAGTATAACTCCCAGRAAGGTGGACTTATAAACTAAAGCAGAATTTAACTTAAATACTTGACAGTAGTTTCCCATCAAAAACTGTGCTATTTCTATTCCCAAGTGGGATCATAAATGCTATCTCTTCCAAAGTATAGATGAAAGCTGTGAGGAAAAAGACAGTGCAAACCATCCTGTCCTGMCTGGGCAGCATGTTGGAGTGAAAGGTTAACAGGGATGTGATGATAACTCACTGACTGAGAAAGGGTGATGCCATCAATTTTCAAGGCTGGGACTTGCTGCATTGGATTCAGTGCCTTGAATTCAGCAGAAAACTGTAGAAACAAACCTGAGATTACTCTACAGCAATAAGAAATTATTCTTCCTTGATTTCTTCTCCCAGAACCCAGCTACCAGTTTTTTTTTCTCTCTCCTTTATGTTAAGCTTTGCAGTAAATTATGCTGCATTATTAGCYTACAGCAAGCTCTGTGTGGGGCTCAGGGATCCTTGCATCCAGGGCCAAACTGCCTTATTGCTTGATAAAGCATCCCTGCAATGCCCAGGATGGGTGGTGTTGCCACCTGCCATCACCTGTTATCAGTGCCACCATTACTGTCCWGGTTCTCCAACTCTGCCTTAGCCCAAACTGGTACATTGAGCTGTGGTACTATGAGGTACCTCCTATGGACCCCTAAGTAAGGTCTCTTTTGTGAAGATCTCTTTTGACAACCCACGTCTTTCCTTTGCAATATTCCCCTGCAATATAATTTAGCATCTTTTGTACACCACCTACCCCCACCCCCACACACTTTCAGGTGCTAATTGAGTGAGGTTGAGTCTGTTTRAAGTGCAGTGCAGCTTCTCTGAAATCTGTGTGCCAGATCTATTTAGCTGTATCATGGTAAGCACGAGCAAAAGATCTTCAGCCTTATGAATTCAGTCACAAATGTTTGAGAGAGGAAAAGGCCTCTAGTCTCCACCAGACATACTCTCCCTCTTTATCACATGCCAGGGAATAGTGGCTGAAAACAACAATTAATTACAGAGAMGCAGTAAGGAATTCAGTAACTTTGCCTGTGAACTTTCTAGCGCTAATCCCGAGTCTCCTAATGATCCCCAAGTTCAATAGCCCTGGAGAGAACAGTGGAATCTCTATTCTTACCTGCTGCCCTCCATCCTTAATGAGGTTCACTGGGACCAGGTCATAGGAAATTCCTTTCAGAGCCAGTGCTAGGGAGAGCAGAGTGTACAGCTTCAGACAGGTACACTGGGACCAGTTTCATGGGCTCAGGGAAATGTTAGCATCGATATTTGAAAAAAGACCTTATCCCGCAAAGAGGGTGGCCTGAGTCCACTGTGAAGATGGTGCTCTGGCAAATGAAGGACTGAAGTACTAAAGATCAGTCCTGGCAAAACCACTGCATTTTTCAAAATAAGCTTTACAACTCTTTGCAGCACAGCCCTTCCTGATTTTGCTTAGACAGGGCAGGGAGCCATGTGCTCATTCATAAAACCTATGTGTCTCAGTAAAAGCAGGGACCMTTCCCAGCCCTGCTTAGCTCTCAAGACCTGGGCAGGCCAGAGTCTGAGGCAGTATCACAAAGCCCTCTTATCTTTTCCCCTCTATTCCACCTGCTCCTGGTATGCTGCAGGGTTCCACTCTCTCCTGGTAGGGGAATGCCTCACCGGGTTCATGTTTGCTGACCTCTCTGTTAATAAGTGATGGATTAATGGGGTTAGTGGAGGGAAGGATACTCCAATACTAAGACAAAAAAAGAGAGATCARCACTGGATCTTACCGATTCGCACTCTCCAAGAACAGGAACTTCGGAAATAACTGTAAAGTATCGGCTGAGAAGAGAAAGATAAAATGGTTATATGCTGGGAGCACCAGACTGTTGTAAGGAGAAGAATGCAGGAGCAGAAAGCATTTCAGGAACTCTTAAGACAGAGAAGAGCAATGTTTGGAGGAGAGAGGGCTCCTTTCTGAAAGTAGCTATTCCTGATGTAGGCATAAAGGTAGCATCACTGTCTCTCAGCCTTCTGGGTATTTAGTTGCACCTGATGTTTCCAGCAATGTACAACTGACTTTGAAATTATTCCCTATAAAGCTTCCCTCTTTGTCCCTATCCAGTATTGCTAACTTCTAACCCATCTTAGATTTCTGAAATAATTTCYACACTGATTATGGAAAGGCCAACAAGCACTTGCTCTGGGTTATTTGCATGGAATGAAATAGCTTTTCCAGTCATGCATGGAAAAGCCAGATCTCTTTCCCRACAAGAAGAGCTGCTGCTGTTTGAGATGAAAACATGAGGACACATAATTCCTGTCTACCTGAATTATAACACTGAGGCAGCCTTTCCAGACACTTCCACCCTGTCCAAACTCTTACCTTTTCAGATGGCATGGTTAAGTGTGTGCAGTCGTCTCCACAAAATGAAAACAATCTCAGTGTTTTCTCTTTTAACTCAGCTGGAATGGGGGATGGCTTCTCTCCTAAAACCAATGAGGAAAGGACTATGCCCCGCAGTCCGTGCCCAGATCAGCCAGTCAGATTCAATCCTGAGTCACTGCAGTCACCCTCTCCCAGCCCTGATGTCAAAACCATTAACCAGATTGAAACTTGGAGGTACATTTGGGAACCATTCTTATTTCCCTAACTTTTAATCCAGAAACAAGTAAGATATCTAGAAAACTTCCCATGCTTTCCCAGTCAGCAGTTGCCAATGCAGAAATCTAACCCTGGAGAGCTGCATGCAGAATTTCCATTTCACTAGGGAATGGCTGCTGGCTCCTGGAACAGGGACTGCCTTTGCAGGGAGGTCCCTTACTGTGCTCCTGTGTTCCTCCTCCCACCAGTACTGGTCAGTGTAGGGGATTTTCTACATTGCAGATGTGGGAGAAGCTGCTACTCTGTTCCCACACCAGCTTAATGCAAAATAAAAAGATCTTTCTTTGTGTGTCATGGTCTTTTCTTTCCATGCAGGAAATTGTTACTCATGTATGTCTCTAAATGAACCTGTAATCATGTCTCTCCTTGCTTACACAGATCCCATGGCATGTCATGGATCTCTGTGTCTCTACCCTCCCAAAATGCATAGAAAGTTTTCCAGAGACTAGCAGCAAGACAAAAGAAAGCAGGGATATGCYCAATGATAGTCTGTCAACAGAAAACCAGAGAGACGGAGGATCTCCATGGTTCAGTCCTCTTTGTAAACTTGATGCTTCTCTTACAGTTTAGATTGGTTCAAATGAATTTAAATGAGGTATTCCTTTGACTAGATTCCTCAAATTTACTAGAAAATTATTTATAAGCAAGRAGGAAAGTGATGGCAGTACTGGCAACATTTTAGTGGACAAAATATTTACTTATTTCCTTAAATTCTCTGCTCCTGGGATCAGGCCATTGGATATATCACCTATGTTCGTTTTTCAAATGTCCAGCCTGCTGGGTTGCAGGGAAAGAAACAGAAACTATGGCTTCAAAAGAGAAACATAAAGCATTCATGGCAAACTAATTTTACTTGCTTTTCCTGAGGATCTTGTTAATAATTTTTTGCTTAAAAATTCATGTCCTTTACCACATCTGTTTTGGACTCTGGTTCTCAGCTGGCAGAGACATTTCTCCTGATTCTCTCTGCAGATCTTTTTTTGTTTTACCGCCTGTGCTATCATTTGGAATAAACTGTGCTAAGCTAATTGCTTTGCTCTATAATTCAAGGCCCTGGGAGATTTTTCCAAAAAGAACATGGAAAACAACCCATCATTCAGTTGGGAAATGTCTCCAGAGGCTAGCGCCTGGAGTGATCCCTTGGGTTTATGCTGTTTTGTTCCCAGCAGCAGGGCAGATCGCAGGCAAAAATAATCAGCTAAGTAAAGACCAGACACAGCAGAAATGTTTTGTCCTCAGTGGACAGGTCSCAGAGTGACACTGTATCTTCAGAGGAAATGTATCAGAAGAAATGCTGAGCATGGGCCAGGGAAGTATCAGGAAAGAACTTACTGCATTTACAAYCCTGTGGATAAAATCCCCATAAACTGCAGCGTAGACTGGTTGGAGCTGGGATGATAGCAGGACAGCATTTGCTTGATGTCTACTGAGATTTCTGGTTTGGTTCTGTTTTCATTTCTGGCAGTCAGTGAGGAAAGTTTGGGCTTAAATACCAGTCCAGAGTAAAAGTTTTGGAAATGCATTTCAGTATTGTGAAAAAYGGAAGGAACAACCCAGGCTTTGTGTGTTGACCTCTCAGGCTTCTTGTCTTCTTCAGTATGTTCTCTGGATATCATCTCTTTCCAGGCGATATAGGGGATGCACCTGGAAAGGCCAAATCTCTGACACCCATCAAGCCCAGCAGCCTGCACATATACCCTGCTCCTTGGAGGCTGGCACAGGGGAAACCTCGAAGTCTGAAAGGCACTGCTTGTACCCCGCTGGGTTCAAATGTAAAGCACAAAGAAGAGATTTGCTCCTAAATTCTCAGTATCTCTGCAGTAGGACTTGTTGTTAACAGTGCACGCAAATAAAATATGGTAAGTAAGCACCACCATTAAAAGCATTAGCACACTAAAGCATTTTATTTAGCGTAGGGGAAAATCCCTTGCTTTCCACTGCGACAGAGCCAGGTGCAGGCCGGGATGCGCGCAGTCCTCCCGGGAACGGCCAACCGGCCTTCTCGGGGTGCCGGCGCACCATGAGCCGATCTTGGCCGCGATCCCTGTCAGCCGCCACAGCCGGCGGCAGGGCCGAAGGCGGAAAGCCGCCGCCCCAAGCCCCGCTCCCTYCGGCTCTGGCGCCGCCATCGCCCCCCGCTCCCGTCCCGCCCCGCGGGCAGAGCGCGGAGCCAGCGCCGCGTACCTTGGCGGCGGCAGCGCTCATCGCCGTCCCGGCTCCGCTCAGGGCCCGGCGGTGGCCCGGCTCCGCATCCCCGGGACTGCATCCCCCGGCGTGCCCCGCGCCCCGCCCCGCACTCCGTGCC